GGTCACATATTCCCTTTGAAAAGACATATTAAAAATTGAGATCATCTCAACAATTCCATAAACTCTCGGAATATGCACAAAGAGATCAAATATATGATCTTTAAAATTGCATAAAACTCTTGGAATATTCATTAAGAGATCAAAGACATGCCAAATATGTTTTGTTCAAAGTTCTAGCAACATTTAAGATCCAAATAGAGTGTTGCTACATGCTTCTTGATAATCAAATACATCAAGGAGATGCATATCATTCTACGTTCGAGAAATACGCCGCTAAGGCCTTCGAATTACGGATAACAAATCAGAGTAAAGAATCAAGGGAGAAATATAATTATACCCGCATTATTTTATCAATAATTTTTTTTTTCATATTTATATTGTGGTTGTAATTTATTTTTGTATCACATATAATTTGTTGCAAACAAATTGACACGCCCAGTGGGACCAGTTCTGCCCTTCATCTCTTTCTCCTGTAAATCGGAAACTACAATATTCAAAATCAACTATTGTGATAGCCTTTAGATAGATTAATGGTGTTCTAAGTAAGGACCTAATGCAGTCACATCTGTTGATCTCTATTATGTTGGTCCGGTCACTCGACGCATGTTCAAGACCAGTTGCTTGGATGGATCGAATAATTTACTTTCTTGGATATTGCAAAAAAGAGCAAATCTCATATGATGACTGTATATATTTGGGGCAACATACCTTGTTCTCTATTTAAGTGATTTCTCGTCAAAGCCACAATATCGCAAGAAGGATGCGCTGAGTGGTTCCGCTACAATACTACAAGGATTAACGAACAAATTGATCCAACCACCGAAGTCTGAAACTGCAAAAGGAAGAATCTTGAAGTAGATATTCAATGGCGGACAAATAACGACATTCAGCAATATCCAAATCCAAAGGAAGCATGAGTTCACGACTATATCGCATGCCAAAGCAAAGCAAACTGTAACGGCCCGACCGGTCGCTTTGATCTCCAGCGCGTCGTTCAGTGATTCAAGGCCATGAGTAGCTTTACTTCAGGTATTACGACTTGTACGTGTGGTCGGAATTGAATTTCGGGAAGTTCGGAGTTGATTCGGAAAGAAAATTCTCATTTCGGAAGCTTTAAGTTGGAAGAATTGGCTAAGGTTAGATTTTTGAGTAAACGACATCGGAATCGGGATTTAAAGGTTCCGACAGGTTCGTATGAGGATTTTGGACTTGAGCGTATGTCCGGATCGGGTTTTGGATGACCCGGGAGCGTTTCGGCGCATATTGTGGAAGTTGACATTTTGGAAGAATTTCATAAATTTGGGTTGAAGTGCATTTCAATGTTAGCAACGTCCATTTGGGATCCTGAGTCTGGGAATAGCTCCGTATGGTGATTCTGGTATTGGGAGCGTGTCCGAAAATGGGTTTAGAGGTATGTAGGTCATTCTAGGGCCATTTGGCGAGAGTTGGAAATTTGAAGATTTTTTTTTTGAGAAATTTGACCGGAAGTGGACTTTCGAACTGTAAATAATCCAAACCAGTATGCAAACAGAGCTCCAGCCTCGAATTAAGGTACCTCGAGGTGATAACAGTATAAGAACAGTAAAGATTGAATAAATTGATGAACAAGAACACGAGCCAGAAAAGAAGAGCTATATCGCTTTTGTTTTAGTGAAGAATAATCCTACAAATGATTGGAACTCCTCTTTATATGGTAGATGAAACCTAATTATGGTATGTCTTACAGAAGAAAATCGTATAAACAGCTAATTAACAGCTTCTGATTTGGTCCGTTCCGAGATTCACGCCACGATCCTCGACCAATCAGAATATCACACTCTTTTCGTTAATAAGTTGTCCCCGATGTTACTCGAAGTCTATATCTCCCGGCTTCGATTGATACCGACCTCAATCTCGAAAGAGACTTCGATCTCGAACTCAATACCTTAGCTCTTCAATGCAACGTCCTTGTTTCGATCATATAGTGAAATCGGGCCGATTTTTACCGTATACATTGATCATGTCGTATGAACATTTCAATTGTGACAAGGAAACATATTTTTAAGTGGCATCATTTTCAAACCAGAACAAATTGTAACAGTGACCTCTTGAATCTGACATTTTATACATTCCTTAAATACTTAATATTTGCCATAATAATTTTTTAATGTAGTTTCTAATTATTTAAATTTTACGTAAATAATATATTATTGAGAAATTAATATTTAACTGAGACCGAAAAATATAAGAGTGTGATCATCTTATCTCAAATTTTAAGTTTATTAGAGAGTATCATACTTTTATTTAATTAATTATATTTTCAACAACTCCAAATTCCTTCCTTTTTTAAGAGAGTATATGAAAAGTGAAACTAAAATAAATAACATTAAGTGCGATGAACTTTTATAACTCCCTTAGTGTTTCATTTTTTTTGTTTTTGCTTCATTATTCAATCGTTAGACTTTGGTCAAGCCCAATGCAAGCGGGTCAAACTGAAATCTCTGATTACAAATTACCTTGGTAATTAGATATCTTTCCAAAAATATTATGCAAAGACCAAATGTCAAGTTGACTAATATTCTTCATACCTATGACTGTTATATCAGTCATAATCTGATCTTTACAAAAGAGCTTCCCAGATTTATTGTTTAATTTTCTTAGTTGATATTATATATTAATTATATATGGTTATACATGAATTATGCATATATTTATCATACATCCATCAACTATTTTTAATTTAAGTGATTAAACGAATAATTATTTAGGTTAATTTTTCTACTACAAAATAAACAAATGAGTATAATCCGAGTGGTTAGTACATTTCGTCCATCATTTTAATTAATCATATAAAGGAAAAGTTTTATACTCGTAGTAATTCATGCAAGCAGCTTCAAAAAAATCTTCCAACAACTTCCCAAAAAGTCTCGCAACAACTTTATTTCTTTTATAAATAGAGAGCCAAGACAGTTTATTCTGTACATCAGTTTGAAGTTAAAATAATATATCAGTCTTTCTCTATATTTGTGTTTGGTTTATTTACTTTATAATTTTTATTTTATAATATAATGATAAATATTTTTCTTCGGAAAAAAAGAGATAGGAGGCTATTGGGGGAGAGCTGAAAGGTGGGGGATTAGTTATTATTTGTAAAATTAGTACTACTAGCTAGTAGGTATACGTCTCTAGTTTCATAACGTTTTTTAGAGCATTGGTATACGAATTTAACTTATATTTTAATAATACTTATATTACAATTTATTTTAACTGGTTTTAACAGATAATATGTCTTATTTTTCATGTCATTGCTTTTACTTTTGACAATCTTATACTTGTAGTTATGTCTTTAGGTAACTTGATAGTTGTAGATTTTTTTTTTGTATTATCAATATATGTATTGACCCTCCTCTCCCATCTCATGATAGGGGTAAGGTCAGCGTACACACTATTCTCCCAGACCCCAATTTATTGTCGGTGTTGTTGTTGTTATAATATATGTGTAGACCTACTTATAATATAACTTCTGACCAAATATGTACATTTAAATCTCTTTATAACAACCTTGTTTGTTCCGAATATTTTTGGATGTTATAACGAATTGCTGTTATAGAAAACATAATTATAATAGAACATGAGAATTGGCTCCGAAAAAATTTGACTTTTATAGAAAAATGTTGTTATATAAGGATGTTGTTATAGTAATGTCTTACTGTAATATATTATATGTTTGTATACCATAAATGATGTTCATCCTCTTGCTTTGAGACTGGTAAAAAAGAGTAAGGGGGAATAAATATTCGGTCCCATTCCTGCGTATTACTGAAGGACATGACTACACTCAGTATCGGAAATTGAATGTGCTCGTCTTTTGTATTAAAATCCAAGTGTATGATTTATTATTGTTTTTTTTCCTTGCATGTGTATAGTTATTGGTTACAGGTTTGGCAAAGTAATAGATATAGGGAAAAAGACAATAGTACATTAGCCCTGCCAGAGTCATTCATGTGCATTGCATAATTCGTAAGATAAGTTAATATATAATTTAGCTGTTTTGTAATTTACTTATCTAATATCCATCCCATTGAGAAATATTTCTCCAACAGGAGTAGGTTAGGACAACTTGGACATGTTTTTTTGTACTGCTGGCAAAGGCCACCCTAATCAGGTAGATGAGGCATGTACTACTCCTATATCTACTTTCATACTACCTGGGGGTGGCAAATTGACGGGTAGGGTCGAATATGAGTGGGTTAGAATGAGTTAATCGATGGATAATGTGAATACTCATATTATACATGAATATGATCACTTTTAAAGTTTACTTTCAGTCTCCTATGAATAAAAATAGCTCGCCATTGACCCTGTTGAAATTGTTTCTAAATGTTTTTCCTTTTCTCCAGTGATGTACAATTATGTTCAACGATAAGGACACACAGTGGCGGAGGCACAAGCCGAAATACGAGTTCGGCCGATCCCAATAGTTTTTGCTCAAACAATGTATTTAGCTAGCGTTTGGTCATAGATTACCAAATTTGTTTTGAAAAATCGGATTTGGGTGAAGTTTGGTTTAAAGATGAAAATGTGTTTGGACATGAGTTTTCAAAACATATTTCACTTTTTTTTTTGAAAAAACATGACTTATACCCACAAGTTCTTAAAACTATCACAAATACCCAACAGTACCTTCGTCAATAACATCCATTATATTATCGCAAATCATAATCCTGAACATAAATAAATTTAGTACAAAATTATCATTTTTATAATGAATTACATAATACACTATCAGATGACCGAGAAGACGAAGCAACATTGTTACAAAATAATAAATGGTGGGCTCTTTTATAAAATACAAAATTTTGGAGCAATTTTTAAAAAATGTAATAGTAATATTTTGGGGCAAAACCAGCTCTTGAGTTGGTTTTAGGATTTGGGTTTTGGGAATTTGCCAAAATATGAATAAAATTTATGAACAAACATGTATTTGCCAAAAAAAAACTCAAATATATTTTGACAAAATCTATGGCCAAACAGATCCTTAGTATTTAGAATTTATTAAATATGTACAAATATTAAATATAGAACCCAGTCACTAACACTTGGAATCATCGTTCTAAAATCCAGAAACCATAAGGTTGAAATCCTAGCTGCGTCTACAAGGACACAAAGATAAAGCTAGAACAAATACATGTCATCTCAAAAGAAAAAGTAACTCATAAATTTAAGAGATACTGGAAAGGTACGCAAATGTCCCCTTCATATCAACAAGGCAGCTCCTCCTCCAACTCTTTTTTAGGATGATTAGGTAATTCAGGAGCACAATACGTCATGTATCTGTAGAAACTTAAACAAAGGCAGAAGCTCAAAACCAAAACACCAACTAACAATTCTTCATTCAGCCAGTGAACAAGAACAAGCATTGCTAATCCCAGCAAAAAGTCAAAAAGTCCAATATCATATGCTGCGTGCATGAAGTGGGTAAAGATATAGACACATGCGGTGCAGCCTAGCAGTATAACGAAATAACCAACATTGTACTCCAAAAGGTGATGCAAGGCTGCTGCAACTATCATAGGAATGACCTCAATCATAAATTTCGCCTTAGCACCAATTAACCGGAAAGGCGACATCTCGCGATGCCAATAACAAACAGAGTACCATGGAATCAGATAAGCATTAGTGCTAACAATATAGTAACTGAAAAAGGTGACAGGACCGGCATCCTCCACAAAAATTGGAAAGACAGCCCATATACACCATAAGGGAATAAAATTAAGAAGAAACCACCGCCAGTCATCACCCACTATGAGACGAACTGAAAGAAACACAGAAAAACATATTGAGCATCTCAAATAAAGTTACTAAACACACAAAATCGAGCACACCAAATCTATAAACAAGCACAATTAGAGAGGGCAACTTTGCACAAAAATTCACAACTTCAAAGTTTAAAAAGGAGAAACTCCTCATGTCTCCAAACAGTATAAGAAAAGAAATTGTGGCATTGATCTGCGAACCGAGCTAGAAAAGCACCGTAACTTCAAAAGACTTACCGGCTGATTGACTACAAGTACATAAACCAGGTAATCTAATCAACTTTAAAATTGAAACCACGGCCATCAAAAACTGCCTGCCTCCCTATATCTAGTCTTACGGGTAAAAGATGGGGGAAAAAGAAAGGGAGTCGAATAATGACGTTACTCGCCTGAGAAAAAGTTGAGGCTAGGAACCTGTCATACCCCTGAAGAAGCGGCCACTGTGCACGAAGAAGCTGCTGTTGAGCTTCAATTAGCTGGACGAAACGAGATACAAAGCAATTGAGAGAATTTTCGATGACAAAAGCGGAGATTTAGGGCTTAAAAAAATATCGATCCAAAGCAACAAAAGAGAAGAAGCCAGATGACGAAGCGTCCGGTCTAGGGTAAAAAAGGGGGGAAAAGGAAGGGGTCGAGTGCCTAATTAGAAAGAAATTAGAAAGAATTACATAGTATGCCACCCGACCCAACCCTATAACCAAAATAGGCCCATATTTTGGGATCTTACCCGTTTGGGCCCATATGGGTATATATTTTACACACACTACTTTACTTTACTACTATCAATAAAGGGTATCGGGAGGAGCTTCGGTTCAGGTGAAATTACAAAAAAATCATAAAACTTTACATTATTCCATATTGGTCCACACGACACTAATGGGTTGTGCAAAGAGCACTGTAAATTGTACTTTACTATCTGTTCCATTTTATTGGCAATTGAATGGACTTTCTACAGAGACACAATCACACAGGTCCCTTCCAGCGCTGTGCATAAATTATGGTACCAAAATTTTAGTATTCGGTATGTTATTTGGTTTAATTTTTATAAAAAAATATTATTTGTTAGTTTAAAACGAAAATTAAAATATTGATACCGTATCGAAATATATATTATATTCCATAATATATATATTATTAATTATAATATAAATATATTATATTGCTTTCCTTTTTTCTCTAATTTTATTAATTAACTCTAACCAAGTAACAATACATTTATAATGATCAAATTTATTACTTTAGGGAAAGTTTTCTTTTTTTTTCGAGATAAAATATTACTGTATTTTTTCTTTGTCAATAAATATTTTTAATTTTGTATTTTTGAGTACTTTAATTAATAATATTACGGTAAATCGAATAAAATGAAGTTATGGAACCAAATAAATCGAAATATAAAGTGTAAAAATCAAACCATATTATGTAAACGGAAACCGACGACACATTCTAGGCTCAACCCCAGGGAATAAACACATTCTTCAACTGTTCTTCAAGGGTTTCAAAGAGAGAGAACTCTAAGTGGAACTTATCAGAAATCTTCACTCATCGGATGTCTCCAATTTTCCATTTGTATGTGGATTTTAAGTTTTGTGTAGTACTTCTCTGCTCTGTGAAAATTTCCATCTAGGACAAAAATAGTGATAAAGAGGGAAGAACGTCGATGCCACCTATGTATTTGATGAAATTCCCCAGTGGAAGATCTTCATGGTCAGCGAGTTTGGATAAACTCCGTAATGCAAATTTTGACATAAGCTGTTCACGAAAGTTGCAGTTTATGACATAACGATTTCGTCCTTAAAAAGTTCTTGCTCTTGCATGGATGGGATTTCCTCTCTAAAGTGGTGAATTTTAAAAAGCTTGAGGTTTACTGACTGGTGCAATCAAGGTTTCACCTTTTTGGAACTGAACGGTTTGCTTTTAATTGGTATGCTCATCGCCAATTGCTGAAGGTTACTGAGTAATTAACTAATTAGTTATAGTCTATGTTCAGTTACTTTGTATTTTGTTCTTGAAATTGATAGACAAATTCCAAGTTTCTACCTTTATATTTAATAATTTGCACTTCAACTGTATTATTTCAATTTGTAATTATTCGCGCACCTTTGTTCCATGCCTGAAGTCTATGACAATTTGCCCTCTCGATAGAGGTTGCGATTAAACTATCAGAATCGAATGCATCGAAGGATCCTTTTCTTCTTCTAACTCTAGCTGTTCCATTGAAATCTAACTCAAACTCTTTGAGCTCATTTATATGTTGTAAATATTTTTCTTTGCAGTAAGAAAATTATAATGGTTAGTTATTTCAACTACTACTTGCAATTAGTTGCGTAAATAAAAAAGTTAAGATAAAATTTGATTACATCCTAAAGTGATTGTGAAGTTTCTAATTGCTTTCTTTGTTTTATTAATGCTCATACACATAGATTAACTCGGCAACCATGTTATTTCCATGTTTTCTTGTTGTAGATAAACAATGTCGGAATAAACATCAACTCGCTCCTCTCCTTGAAAGCATCTGAAGCTGGAATTGTAGTCTTCATTCTATTGTTGGTCTGGTTCACGTGTCGCCAGCTGGTTCTATTTATACAACAGAGAAAGGTGTAGTTCTGATTACAATTCACTCTTATTCTATATATATGGCACCTCTCATGTTATATATTTAATTAAGCAAATATAGATTTATGCTTCATTCTGCTTTGGAGTTTGAATTAGAATTTATTACAGAATTCAAAGTGTTAAGATTTTTTTTTCCTTTGCAATATTTAATGGAAGCAAAGAGACTATTGTGTTTTGATTCTGATCAAATGACAAGTTGTTACTATTTCACAAGTTTGTCTATAGGTTTTGTGATTTTTTTTCTTTTTATGATAGTGCATCTACTTCTCTGTTTCTTTATATATGATTTACTTTCTGTCACTATTGGTTACTAAATTCGCGTGTTTTATGGACGTATTGTTGTGATTAATCTGCCACAAGTTTTTATCATATTAGTTGCCAATTAGCATCAACTAGAGGAAAAATTGAATTGCTTGATAATCCCCCCTTGCTATTTGGAAAAGTTAATACCAGATTTTGGATAATGATAGGCATCATACGATGGCCTGGTTAAAACACACGTTTAGCATGGTTTTATAGGGAAAAGATAGTACTATATATATTTTTACTTTGGATTCAAATTTATGATTAGGTACTCCAATAGAGATATCTTTGCAAAACTGAAAGTATTCAAGTGGAAACGCGTATTATATAATATGAAACATCCCTAGCTCTCCTTTAATAAGTTTGCACTTTGTGATGTATTTCAAGCTTTTGACTGAAAATGTGATGGTCAAAGTTGGGATTTTATCCCTATGAGAATATTCAGTCTCCAGTCAAAGCTCTTTTTAGAAAGGGTGATCAGGTGATTTGGTTAGCAAAAGTTTGCCGCAGTGAGATTGTTAGTGTTTTCTGCAAAACTTTCTGCTTTATTTCTGTTGTTATGGCGGTAGGACTTTAGGTTTAGAGGATCTTATAATTAGATTATAAATTACATATATTACCAATTAAAAACGATGAGATTTATTTAATGAATACTTGTTTTCAATTGGAAAGGGCAAGTAGAAATAGATGGTTGTGCACATGTTTAAGCAAAACTTTTTTGCCTTTTAGTTTTCACATTCATTACTTGATTTCCGAAAGAGAAGTGTGAACTTGAGGTCATTGGTATGTTTTTCTGAATGATAATGTAGAGAGAGTGCATGGTTTGTACTAAATTATACTCCCTTTGGCCAATATTTAGTTTGTTTCCATATGGAGGCTACCCAAACAAATATTACAGAGGAGATGATAGATATAAATGATAGTGAAACAGTTAGCTCTTCTAACCAAGAGGACCACCATTGCTGCCACTATTCTTGCCGTATCTAATTTAATAGTTCCTAGCTATATGGAATAACATCATTTTGTACTTGCCATTTAACAATAAAAGGGGAACAACATCATTTTGGTATGTTTCAGGCTTTCAGCTTCATATCTCTTGTAAAAACTTCTTCATGGCACCTGGAGAGTTGGTGCCTTCACATAGACACGAATTATATGTACACTTAGTAAATGCTCAATATTAAGACTATTTTAAGTGCTCGGAAGTACTAAAATAGATAATTATTTACGCGAAAATAGCTTTACAAGAGACCTTTTGTACTATAATAAATAAACATACAGCGTAATAGCTATTGAAAATCAATTTCTACTAAAAACGGACAACTAATGCAGGCAGTAACATGAAAATATATTTTATCACTTCTTCTCATGCTACATGCATAGAAGTAAGACATCTCATGTAGAGATGTGATGGATCAGGGATGTAGTTGAGCAGCAGTATTCTACAATATACATTAGTTTATCTGCCTGACTATGAGTGAAAAAGATGGCGAAAGCAAATTAGGTTATGAAACAGATTTAATAGTATTAAAATATTTACTTTCAATGTATATAGTACTCGAGACTTAAATCTTAGAGTGGATAGATTTACAAACTAAAGTTTACTTTCATAATCCAAATTGCTGGCGCAGACCTCACTAGTGAAAGTTCATAGAATATTATGGTTAAAATTGGAAAGGTAGCAGAATGTACAATAAAATAAAATAGTTTTATTCACTTGCCCGGGCTACTCCTCCACTAATCTTCTGTATAATAAGTGAAGGTCTGCTGTACGACGAAGGGTATTTCTGGAAATCTAACTTGCTTTATGGATAATTTAGTAATTCTGTGTCATTCCATCTTAAAGATCTATACTACAACTTTACATAACACGTGTGTCATCACTTATCCCTCTTACAATGAATGGAAAACACATGGTCTTCTTTAAGTTTCAATGTTCATTCAATTTTTTCCTTTCTTTATTCTTTCTTTTCTTTGTATGACTCCTGAATCTTTTGTTCCCCAAAAAATTGCTTCAACACTCCCATTACTCATCCCTACAAAATCAAAGCGAAAATCCTAGGATACGAATATCGATTGGAAAAGTACATATAGAGAGATTGAGTTCAAATTTACCCTAGTTTTAGTTCTGATTTCGGTAATCAAACTGTATCTCGTCTCGAATTTTTCTGTCCGTCGTGGTCAAAGTACCCAAAATTGTTTGCCTAGATCCGGTACGGATCCCATACCCACACCCATACTAGTGTCGTGTCGACACGGGTGCGGCACCTAAACTGCCATGTCAGAGCAACTTAGAGTGCAACAGTATGCCAATGTATGTTTGTCAAAACAACACCGGATTGTTAGGAGAAAGGAAAAATATACTGGGAGAAAAATCTTCAAAATCAATTGATGTATCTTATTTGTTAGTAATTCAGATTCTATACTCTCGATTTTGATTTGAGAATTAAGCAATTACGTAGTGGTCGAGGATGTTTTCCATATGGTTGAACTAGTTCAATTGGTTGCCACTGGATTAAATTAGTTTTGTTTCTTTTTACTTTGTCTATTGCCATCATTATTTCAATTTTTTCAAAGTTATTGTAAAGTCATGTCATTTTCTCTCTAAATTATCAGACTTATTTTCATCTTGCTCACATGAGCTCAGAAAGAGTGAGTGAGACAAAGAGTACATATGTTTCTCTCAACATCCTCATCTTTGTTATTTAGTGGAAACTTTTTCTATTAGATTATGGTTTATAATTTTGACATCTCTGTAAGTGCAGGTATATTGACTATAGGCATTCTTTCAATTGGTTTGCTCAAAAGTTACATTGCCAATTACTCTAGCTTTACAACATACCAAAGCCGTTGGGTTCTGTAAAGAGTACAATCATTTGCCTGAAGTCATCCGATGCTACCTGCACATACTTGGTCAACAAAAATATAAAGTTTCTTCTCAGAGGAAACACAATGTCTTTTGAGAGTTTGTTAAATTCTATGGTAAATGTTGATGTTTGCTATGATGTTGATATTTGTTGAAGAAATGCTTTTCTACACTTGTAGAAACTGAAGGTTTACTGGCTTGTATGATAAGAGGGAGGAAGGAAACTGTCAGTATGAGTAGAATGACTTCTGCTTAAATTCTCATGTCTTGCTGACTACAACAAATGCTTGTCCTCACATTCATCAGCTGAGGTAATGCTAAACTCAACTTTTCTACTACACTTGTAACTATATGCTGTTTTGTTTTCTTTTTTGAATGATACATGTTTGGGAGTTGTTGTGAATTATCTCCATTAAAGAAATACGCCATTAAATTTTGCTGAAGACGGATAATTTTTCTATATAAGACAAATGAAGCATTCCGGTAATTCTTTGTTAATCTGCTGCTTTTAATCGATATTCTTAACGAAGGCAAAGAGATTATAATATTCTGTTGCCAGTTGTTTTGCTTGTTCATTTCAGTGATTCTTGTTGAAACAAACCTTTTGCGATTATACTATTAATAAGGGTTGGCTTGTGTGCTTACAAATCGTCGTTGCTAAACTGTTATCCTTCTGAAAAAGGGATAAAGTTTTCTTATGCGCAATATATACATCAATGTTGTATCTATTTGATTTTGTTTGAACAACAAGCCTTATTTTGGACTAAAACAAATGCAACTAAAAGAAAAGAAAGTGATTGGAAGGAAAAGCTTTGAGCTTTGCTCAATTTAGAGACAAAGAAAGAGAGGAAATGAAAGCTCATACATCATATGAACAAAATTGACAGTCCTTTTTCACCCAAATAAAGACATGACTCTTTTAGTTGTCATAAAAATCAACTGTGAGTGTTCCAATCACATGCTTTCACACTTTCTTGATAATTCATTGTTCATTTCAGAATGAACTTATTTATGAGCACTATCCAAACATATTATGCAGCTATCTGAGTGGTAACTTCAATTTTTGTGTGTCTAGCTGTGTGTTAGGGCTTCGTCACTTGATATATGTATTTTTTTAAATACCCCAATAATATTACCAATCAATTTTGAAGACTGTTTTGAGTAAAATTTTCATAGTCACTCTTAATTTATCTAAAAAAGATTAGTATTGCCACAATATGTTCACTAAGTATACCACTAAATATGGTTGGTACAGTTGGTTTGATTTGGAGGAAATCTGTGGCAAGGCATATTTGCTTTGGCTTGATTGCTTTCGCCAAATTATACTCTTTTGCTTGCGATGTACTTCTCTTTGAGTTAGCTTACGTGTGCTCTTTTACTAATAAGAGAATACAGATGCTACAGAGAGCTTACTCATCTGATTGGTTCCTAATTCAATAATTGGTTCACCTGACAAAACATCAACTTTTAATATGCTAATTGAATAACTAAGACAACAATGCGGCTGACTCCTTTTTAATAGCTTACTCATCTGATTGGTTCCTAATTCATTAATTGGTTCACCGGACAAAACATAGCCAAACAAGAATAAAAAATTGAACAGAACTCAAATACAATTCTTGAATCTAAAACTAAAAAAAGTTATCTGCTGCAAATATCTAAAGGAACCATAACTACTGAATATAATGTTTTACAGCATACTTGACTAATCATTGTTGCAGGACTAAACCTATAGAATGTTGTTCAAGCAGTAGGAGATAGACTTTGGAATGAGGAACTACTGGATAATGTGACTCCAAGCTGTGAAAAGGGATTGTGCTGCTGTTCTTTTTGCCGTAAACTTAAACTACGTTCAACTTTAACTACCACTGCTATGTAAAAAGAACTAAGAAAATTGAATATGAAAGTTGAGCAAGGAATGACTAATGTCTTTCTGCTGTCTGCTATTGTTCTTATAATAGGTCGTATAAGCCCGGGCCAATCCCATCTAGTTCTACTTATATAGAAGAGCGCAGAAGCAGCTCTCCGTCGACATCCCTGCTTGCCGACCAAGGGGTATTTAGTCATTTCAGTCTAATTTTGTGTTGAGTTCTCTATTATGTCCTTATATCTTATAACGCATGCTACTTAAATTAACGAGGGTTGCATAGTCATTTTACACCTATACAATCTGACAGCACCGCTACACAGCTCATGTGATTCTCTCTCTTTAGTATTCTCAACTTATTGTCTGCGATACAAGTTGCAACCCTGTTCCTCCATGGATTTTGCCGTACTTTCGCATTCATAGCTTAAATTAAATCAACTTCCATTTGTGGATGCTCTACCATCTTCTTCACAAGATAAATTGGGGTTTGGACTTCTTCGCTGCTCTGTCTTTGTTGCATCAAGGTAATCACTTCGTTTCAATTTACTTCACTGATCTGTACTATTTCATCTCCGCTCTTCTTCTGGTAGGAATTTTCATTTTAGAGAAAAAATCTGTTTGACTTTCCCCTATTTTGAATTTGCACAGTTGCTGAAACTCTTAATAAATGGGTTTTTGCTGCTTCGTTGGAGCTGAAGAAAGGGGGGGGGGGGGGGGATTCACAATGGTGCTTGCTTTGAATTTTAGTTTTTTTACGGAAATTTATTGTGAATATTGGTGTGGATTTAAGGATTTCTACAGAAATTTTATTGTGAAAATTGGTATGTAGAAATTGTTTTTATTATTCTTTGTGTCAGGAGGGGAGGTTAGTTACGTTCTTAGGACTCTGTGTGTTGAAGATTTTTTGGTATTTGCATTAAAACAGTGTGTTTCGATCTCTAATTTTTGGTACAATTTTTTCAACTTTAGTGGTAATGCACTGGTAGGGAAAACCTCAATCTATGTTTTAAATAATGAAGCTTTAGAATGCACTCATTTCCAAGACAGAGAAAATTGGATTACTGTGATGAACACTTTTGTTGGTTATTGCACATTGACACATGTTCACATAATAGTAAATCTGATAGGGCCAGGGGAAGAGATGGCTTTCGCTAATCATGTTATAAAAGAATTATATTTTGTTGTTGGTGTTCCACATGTGCCTTAACTATCTCCAGATCTTCTTATTGAACTACCTTCTCCAAATGGTTCACATCATTATGGATTATGTTTTACCTGTCTTCCCTTGGATGGACTGCTTTGTCAGTAAAGCAACAAGCATTTAGCTATATATAAATGATCTGCTTCAAATGAAAGGGCAAATTAACCAAAGAATGAGACTTCTAAGAGGAAGAACAACTTGGAAGACCCTGCCAATTCGCAAAATAATTAGCATTATGCTAGGAAGGGATTAAGCTAATCCACTTGAACTTACTTAGAAATCTTGAAATGAATTAATTCTAGAAAGGGATAGATTTAAGAAATACTTGTTGCCTTTTGTCCTAATTTCAGGAAGCTTTCGGGTGCAACACATTGCTTTTCTTATAACAAGACAAATAGTAGGCCTATCTTGCTTGACTGCGATAGTACTAAGATGCCTGACGATAAGGTGAATAAATTCCTTGGTAAAGAAGTCATCTCAGTTTTGAATGGTTATTATACACAATATAACGTTCTACCATTAGTTTCAAATTTGGTGTCATTTTGTTTAATTTCGATTCCAGAAAAAATTTCAAAAGCATCCTATGTTTTTGTAGCGTTGAAAAATGTAAAACAAATGCAAGTGGGTTTACAATACTTAAAGAGGAATGTATACTATTGAAAGAACACGAAAGTAAGGAAAAAAAAAAGGAATTGGTACAGAGCTTCTACAATAGATAGTTTTCATATAATTTGGTGGATGTGGGTAGGGATTTTACAGTGAGTGGCAGGGGTAAGGATTCTTTGAGCCACTGGTTATCTCCATGTCCAAGACTCGGCTATCACCTGAACATGGTTATTTTAAAAGGTTTGATATTTTTGCTACTTTGGTTTCATTAACACAGATTAGATTATTTATCTTCTTCTGTCTTTTTCAACTAGCTGTTTGTATCTCTTTAATTTAATCCTTTATATATGTGGAATAGGATTACAATGGGAATCACACCCAACAGCTACAGACATGGACTGAAAAGAGCAACATGACCTATTATGGAGCATTATACAGAAGCAAGAAATGGTTAGTCAATAGATTGGCATAGCATCATCAAGAACCCGATCCTGTCTTTGGTATATGGCAAGCAAAAGAGCTTCTTCATCATTTGGAGAGTGTACTGGATAATGAGCTTGTCAACACATGGTTGAGGTGAAACCACATGTATGAGAAAAAGGATGATGGTTGAATAATATTTCAAACTCGATGAACTAAAGTGGATACTAACCTTATTCATTTATTGCAGGATTAAGCCGAGGCATAGTTGTTCGGAGTCTAATGGCATCAATGAAGAGCAGAGGGTAGCGACAACTTTTTTTTCCATGCATAAGCGATGGCATATCCGACAAAGACATGTTTGAGAGAATTGCAAGTCATCTATCAAACCTTTTTTTGCTTGATAAAGTACAAGTGTTTGCATCCAATGTTGATCAGAAACCAAGTTTGGCCTAATACTATCTTAATGATATAGTTGAAGTTACAAAAATGCTTCAACACCTTTCAAAAGCAACTGCAACATCATCAGCTACCGCCTAAAAAGCCAAGTCGTGCAACCTCCCTTAAATTTGTCATTGTATAGTTAGTCATACTGCTTATCTACAAAAACTATTCAAAACTGACAACTCTTTCCGGAAAAACCATTAGAAAGTAATTTAATGGTAGCTAATATGAGTTTAGGCTACAAAATAGTATTATTTCATGACCTTAAGGAATTCCATTATATGTTTACTTCCTTTTTTATGCATGTTAGAGCTTCTTCAAAGGCTTTTGATTATGATTTGGTTATTATTCAAGCTGGTGTTGGTGGCTATGGTGCTTCTCTTTGCGCCATAAAGAATTGTAACTCTGTGGTGGATTGAGTTATATGGGTGTTGGTCTTCGCTTCTGCTCTTAGTTGAAGACCTGTGAGAGCACCTCTGTTTTATTTTGTTAAGATATATAATTCATGTTCAGCTGAATATTATCCCAGTATAATGCAAATAGTTGGGCCCCAATCCCATCTAGTATAATAGAAACGCTCAAGTTTCGACGTGTGTGCTTATTGTTTATAAATTCGAAATCAAGGGCATTTTTGACTTTTCACGTATATAGGCTTTCAGATCTCATGTCTCTTAATTGTATAGCCACAACAATACTGCAATCCACGTGTGTTTTAATTAGGGGTGTTTAAAATCGAACCTAAATCGAAAACCGAACCGAAGTCGAAGCTTAATGGCTTATTGGTATCGGGTTAACGGTTTAACGAACGGGGAACGGATTGAAATTTTTTTATTAACGACTTATCGGTTTGGGGGCGGATTATTCAATTTNAATAACTTTTATCCCACAATATTGACGATAGTACTGTCTTGAATTATGTTTTGGGGAAAGAGCGCATTTGCGTTTCCTGTAAATTGTTTACTGCTTATAATCCATCCCTATTTCTATACATAACTGTCTTTTGCTCGGTGCTGTTTGTATGGTTAATGATACAGCGTGAAATACCTGGTTGAGAGTTTAAGTTAGAAATTTAAAGCTGTTGTTTGAACTTTGAAGTTGCAGAAATTCAAGCACTATTAGGCGTTAGCTGCAGGCCAAACATTTCTGTATAGACTGCTCACTTATGGAATAATCATTTTGAAATATGTATTTTGGACTCACTTTGAATGTAGACTGGAATTTCCTATTCTGAATTAATATGCTAGGCGTTAACAGACATATGTATGTCTGGACTCATATGTAGTCTGCTTTGGGATGTAATGTAGCCTACAATGTGTTTTGCTTTTTTCACTCTACAACACATGACACACAACATCATTCTTATGTAGGTGTTAACAGACATGTATGTCTGGACTCATATGTAGTCTGCTTTGGGATGTAATGTAGCCTACAATGTGTTTTGCTTTTTTCACTCTACAACACATGACACACAACATCATTCTTATGTAGGTGTTAACAGACATGTATGTCTGAACTCCTATTCTGAATTTATATGCTAGGCGGTCAGCAAATAATTAATGCACGCAATATAGATTGGATTAGGCCGATAAACTGCCTCATAACCACCCGATAAGAGCTAAACCGATACCAATCCGCCCAATATCTTATCGGGTGACTAGCGGATTAATACATTTAAAAGCCGATAACCGTTAAACCAAACCGTTAAGAAAAATTAACCGCCTAATCCGCCCGATAAGCCGCCTTAGTTTTAATGCAAAGGCCACAACATCACCTTCGAACTTACAGCAAAAAGCAGAGCTCCATCAACCTACCAGACTCAAACCGCTCTGCTCGCCGTCCTAGCCTCTGCTCCTGGGTTAGTTTCCTCCCGTCGTTCTGAATTTGTTTTATATCTTTCTTTCGATCTTCTTTCAATGTTCTCAGTTGGACTGTAAACTACGTTGCCTTTTGTCAATTTTTTATTGCGCTTTGCTGAGCATTTGGTTTTTGTGCTTCTTTTTGTTTCTTAGTTTTCACTACTATCTCCAGCTATTGACTTCGTCTATTGTTACCCTTTAGTTCATCGATCCTACTGCTTGGTTGAGTTCTATTCTGATTTTTTCTTTATTTCCCAATTTGTTTCTTTGCATATATGAATTGTCTAGGCTTAAATACTTTTTGGTGTTTTTTTCAATTTTAAACAAGGAGAAATATATTAGCTTCATATTCATGATTTTGCTCATCTATTATGATTGTTCCCCTTCTTTGTCTTTACTCAATAATATTGCCAAATTTGGTTGAAATTGATTCATGATATCTTCTCTGCTTCATTTGAACAAATGTGAACTTCACCAGAACTCAGGAAACCCCAGAGGGTTATGGTTGAGTTGGGACGAAGAGTGTACTTATGAAAGAATCCAATCTGGTTTGATGCTGTAGTCTAGAGTAAGATGGTAATTAAGCAAACAGATACCAACTAACTAGTGCAGAATTAAACTGTCCTACCAAAAATCTGAGGCATGAAAATTGATGCTGGAAGGTTAGTTCTCTTGATTTCTGCACACCTGTTCTTCATAATACATATATGAAGTTATATGATATATTTTTCTTTCACCTATATAATCTTTTCATTGCTTAACTACTGAAATTTTGAAGTGGATTGTGCACTTGTGATGTTTGATGATATGCCTTCTATATTTAGTGCTACTTATTTGGAGTTACGTACTTATATTTTGTAGCCAAAATACTTTCTTGGGATAAAACGGAATAGAACTATTGGTTTGGGGAGTGGAGCCACGTACTTCAGTCTGTAAGATGAGCCTCTCATTCACATATCCCCTTGTTGCTAAAAAGAAAGTAGCTAAGGCCAGTTCATACCAGAGAATTTTTTTTGTTATCTTTCATTATTATCTTAGTTCAACCTTTGATGGAAACCTCCTCCTGGTATTTTTATTAATGGTATTGGACAACTGCTGAGGATACGTTGTTTGATGTAGTTCTCATATGCCAGTGACAAGTAAGTATTTACCACAATTAAATTTTGCTTCTGCAATTTGTATTCTTTCTTTCCACCATCCAGTGACATTCACTTTTCATGCCCTCATTTTCTCATGTTTCTTCTTACTACATTATGTCATCAAAATTTAGTTTATGAATGGATGTTTTCTTAAAATACTGATCTTATTTCAATCAAAATAATATGAAATAATAGTAGGAAGGTGGTCAAGATGTTAAAATCTCCATATAGGATATTTTTCATTAAAAAAATCTCTATATAGGACATTCATTTCTACTGGTGGTGCTTCATTTCGTTTACGTTGTCAAATTATAGTTCAATCAAAGCATTTTGTGTGATGGAATTTACGAAGTCTGTTCTTTTACATAAAGTATATGATTGGTGACCAAACAGAGAGGAAGTTTTTGATTTTTATGTTTACAATTAGGTGTTGATATTTATTGATCGGTTCTAAAAGTTAGGGCACTTAGAAATGAAAGAAAGCGCTTGTGTTAATCGGGTTTGAAGTCAATTTGTATGCCTGATAATTATGCAGTACTCTGCTGGGACATAAAATATCAATGGTTAAACATGACAATGTGAAAGTAATAAGAAAGTGATTATTTGAGATTTTCATGTTCCCCTTTTTTTTGTTTGTGAAGTGAGACTCCCATTTTACCGTACTGTTTATGTAGCTCCTCGTAAGTTTATACCATGAATCCCAGTTTGTATCAAGTGCACGTGATGGCCTTTTAACTTGGAAATATGAGGTAGTTCTTGAGCAAGGAACACTCAAATAAGAAATATTATATCAAATTTAGGAGGACTGTCGTAACAACTACTCCATCTTATTAGTTGAAATCAGGTTGTAATACCTGTCTCTGGTTATTGTAATTCGGAAGTATTAGTGGCACTATGCCAATGTAAGGATTAAGGATTAATCCTTTTCCCCATAAATTGTATTGTGAAAATTCTTTGTAGTCAAAGAAATATTATTCTTAAAAAAGGAGTGCTCATATAATTATAACATGGGAAGAATGGGAACTTCTCTCGTGTACTAAATACAAGCACATAGATATGTATATGTGATATGGATATATATTATCATAATAAGCTTGCACCTAAAATTTGCCAGAAACTCGAAAGCATTTGAATTTATTCACCGATCCATCTGTGGATCGTGTACTCATTTAAATCTTGGTTCTTTCAAATATTGCATTAGTTTATAATCATGGTTTTTTTGGGGGGAATTTGGGTGACTTTTTTAGAGTATCATTATCCATGTTAAAATTTTTTGTTGATGATTGTCTTACTCCAGTGATTCCTCTCTCTATTTATCTAGGAGGAGGATGTCAAGAATAAAATAAGCATGAAAGAGAAAGAATGATAAGGAGGGGGAGCTTCCCAAGAACATTGAAGGTAACATATAATTCACCTGCAAGACCGTCAAGATGAAGCCTAAACTTTTACTATTGTGACTGATTATAATGGAAGAAAACTGTCATTTGTGTATTGTCGTAAAAAGTGTATCATTTGCTGGTCATACAATATTCGGGAGTGGATAATTGTTTCAAATTGTATCTAACTTATATCCAGCGATATTGTCTATATTTGATCAATTTTTACATGCATCTGATACTCACCTCACTCACACTCATACACACGAAACCCTGCATTTTTTCCAAAATCGGAGATCTGAAAATTCAAAAGGTTCCAAAAAACAAAACACAAGAGGATTTCAAAAGTTAGTTCGATTTCTATTCCTCTTCTTCATATTTCCTGGAATTCTGGATGATAATTGAGCTGTAGAAGTTTTATTTGGTTGCTGAACATTTAATTTGACCTATGTAATATACTATTAGTGTTGGGACCTCAGACGGGTCAAACATCAGCGGCCATGGGAATTAATATACTATTAACCAATGCATAGCATGTTTGGCCAAGTTTTCAAAGTGTTTTTTTTTTCTTTTTTTTCTCAAAAGCACTTTTTCCCCTAACTTGAGGTGTTTGGTCAAACTTTTTTGGGAAAAAAAAGTCTGTTGGGAAGAAGCAGAAGCAGTTTTTGAGAAGCAGAAAAAAGTAGTTTTTTCCAAAAAGCAGAAGCAGTTTTGACTTTTTTTCTTACCAAATATACCCTTAACAAAATATAATATATACCAAAATAACCGTAAATCTAATACTTAGGATATTAATGTATAAATATTTCTTATTATTTTTAGGATAACTTTCTAATATATAGTGACTTTAGGGGTGAATGCTTTTATATTGTTGAATGATTTTTAATATATTTAACTTATATTAAGATAATTAAGTAATTTTAAATTTTATTTTCATATTTTATTTAAATAAAATAAAAATATTTAATTATTGCAATTTTTAAGATTATTTATTTACTTATAATATTAACTATTAAGTAAATATATTTATGTCCTTATTCGTAATTTGATATTTAAAAGCACTTTTTGAAAATCTTGGCCAAATATAATATTGCTCGAAAGTGCTTTTCAGTGTGATTAACCAAACACAAACTGATTCTCTTCAAAAGTACTTTTTTCAAAAGCACTTTTTTCAAAAGCACTTCTCAAAATAAGTTTATTTCTCCGACTATGCCAAACATGCTAGTAATATCAACTATCATCAAGAATCCCAACATGGGCCTCTAATCATACCCAACTCTTAGGCTATTAATATAATATTAACCAATGTAATATCAAGACAACCTAGATTGAACAACTAATATGGTCTCTAAAAAATAATCAGCCGGGCAGCCCCTTTTAATAAGTTTGAAGTTTGAACCAATTTCCTTTTCATGTTAACTATCAGATTTATCTCGTGTACATATACTAAACAAGTCTTAATATTTCGAGGTTCGTATATGCTAAAAACTTGTAGTTTAATCCTTACACCAATACTTTCCATAATTTCGGACCTACAGATAACCTCAAACAACTTAAAAAGCATAAACAGTCTTTTGAACATTGTAGTTTGCTACTAATAATAAATTATCAGATTATGAGTGCAGTTTTCGTAGCATAGTCATGATACGTAACTCCAACTTCGAATGCACGCTTGCGTGACTTGATCCTAACTTCAAAGTAATAATAAAAATAAATATATCATAAATTGCGGGTATATTTTACGTGGTGCGATTTGTGATATGTATGAAACGATAAGTGTACGACATCGTACTTGTTTAAAATAATTTCATAAATATTTAAAATGGCTAAATATATAATTAAAAAGCGGAGGGGATAAAAAACACACACATGTATAAAATATGTAATAATCAGACCTTCTCCCGAGTTAACTGAATTCCTTATCCGATTTTCTATGTTTCGGAGACTTAAAACATAGTTAATTTTTCTTGAATTGGAATTTAAAGTAAATGGTGACTTGGGACACCTTAATAAATTATTTCAAGTAGCGGCTCTATAAATAAAATAATTAATTATTTTTTAATAATGTCACTTAAAATGAAAAAAAAAATTCCTTCCCCGAAAAAAAGGAGGTGTGATAATTTTATAATTATTTAATGCTTTTACTTTTTAGTGTCTAGCATTTCTTATATATTATTTATTTGAAAGATACTTACTATTTGTAAGCTATTATTTATTATATTATTTAATATATTTCGATAGGATCATTTGAAAAAAAGTTTTTATAATTATGTAATTATACATATACAATCATGACAGTGATAAGTACAATGTAATTAAGTTCTGACAAAGGGATATGGAGTAAATAATGGTAGCAGTTAAGGGTAAATATGGACCTGGTTGGTTTGGTTTTGATGTATCAAAATCAAACCAATCCAAACTCTATCGGTGTTGATTGGTTTGGTTTTGTTGGGTTTTTCGGGATTTTTGTCATATAAATATTATTTTAATTTTACTTTATTAAAGTTATATATAAAATTCTGATAAGTGAATATATATTTATTAAAAATTAAAAAAAATTGACAAACATGTGATCTATTAAAATATTCTTATGGGAGAATTATTTTAGTAACACATGATAGTTATTTTCGTATTCGTCTAACAATAATTTTTTGCTAATGTACAATTTTAAGATTAATCGAATTTAATAATTAATATAAAAATTAATATGAATGATATGTTCTATTTAATTTTAAATTATCGAAATACTATTTTCAATTCGAAAAAAAATATAATAAATCTTGACATATGAGTATGGAAGAACAAAGAGATAATTAACGCATTTCAATAACACCTAAAAGAAAGTGATACAACCCATTATTTAAAATAAATAAAAATAAATATACTTTGTAGTTCTATTAAATATTACATTTCTTATGAAAATCCCAAATATTTCTTACATATTTTAAAAGAAAATTCAATATAAAGTCTCGAAAGTAAATATAAAAATTATATATTTATATGTCGGTTTGGTTCGAAATATTTTTTTCTCAATACCAAACAAATTAAATTAAACCTAATCAAGAATTTTTATCTGTTTAATTTAACTTTTTGATTTGGGATGATTTTTCGATTCGATTTGAAAAAAAAAAAAAAAAAAAAAAAAAGGG